ATTCCTCATTTTTAGTAGCTAGATTTTGTTGCAAAATAGTTCTTGAAATTGTTTTCTCCCCCACTTTTTCTTCTTTCCAATTCCCAAAAATCATCTCATCAAATATGACATCTCGACTAATGATCACCTTCTTAGTCTTTAAGTTGTAAAGTCTACAACCTTTTAACATGGAATTATAACTAATAAAGATGCATTTCACACTTGATTCTTCAAGCTTTGTTCTTTTTTCTTTCAAAACTTTAGCATAGTAAACACACCTAAAACTTTTAAAGTGGTTCACTGAAGGTTTTCTTCAACTCCATGCTTCAAATGGTGTCATGTTCCAAACAAATTTTGTTAGACATCTATTTATCAGGTACATTGTTATATGAACAACCTTTGGCCAAAATTCTCTGGACATTTCTTTCTCAAACAACATGGACTTTGCCATCTCTAACACAGTTTGGTTCTTCCTCTTGGACACACCATTTTGTTGAGGAGTATAGCCAATAGTTAACTATCTATCTACTTCTTTATCTTCACAAAACTTTTTAAATTCATTGGAGAGACCTACTCCTTTCCCCTGTCACTTCTCAAGATTTTTATGAACTTGTTGCTTTGTTTCTCAACAAGTGCTTAAAACTTTTTAAATACATTAAATACTTCAGATTTTTTTCTCATAAAATAAACCCATGTCATGTGAGTCAAGTTATCAATAAATGAGATAAAATACCTATTTTGAGCATGGAGATAAAATATTTGTGTGCACCAATTCTAACACTTCTTTGACTTTCTTGCATATTCCTTTGTGAATGGTTAGCAATGATATTTGGCAAGCATACATCCTTCACATACTCCATTTTCTTGTAAATTTTTGGTTGCCTAAACACCATATTCTTTTGAGAAAGAAGCATAAGAATATTGTATTTTCTCATAGTACCCAAGTCTCTTACCATAAACAAGAGTTATTTTCTTCTCTAACCATCAAGTTGAGTTTTCTCTCATCATTAAGAGAAAGTGGAAAGCTTTTGTTATTTGTCATTTTCACCACCGTAACAATTCTTCCTTTTGAATAAAAAATTGAACACTCTCAATTTCAAATCAAAGAGAATAATCATGCTCCAAAAGTTGTCCAATACTCAACAAATTTTCATCTAATTTTGGAACATAAAGAATGTCATGAATCATCTTACCTCCTTGCTTTTTTGTAACTTCAATGTTGCATTTGCCTTCTACTTCAACATATTCTCCATTACCTAATTTAACTTTTGAGGCAAATGAAGAATCCATGTTAACAAAAATTTCTCTATCTATAGTCATATGATTGTTGCAACTATCGTCCAAATATTATATGTTTTTATGCTCTTGAGTTGTCTTTTGACAAGCAAAGAACAAGTTCCCTTCACCATTTTCTTCTTCAACAAATGATTTGTGCTGCTAATTACCAAAGTAACTTGACAGTTCTTTTGAAGATGCCCAAATCTTTTGCAATTATAACATTGCTACTTGCCTTTATTCCAACAATCTTTTTCTTCATGATTGTTCTTCTTACAGTTTCCATACCATTTGTAACATCCCGAATTTTTCTACTAATACTACAAATAATTATTATTTATTTTTGTATTTATGAAAATTATTTCCTTATAATTATTTTGATTAATTAAATGGGTTTTATTGAATTTTTAAAGATTTTTATTAATAATCATTTATGAAAATTATTTTGTATAATATTATTAATTATGATATTTTGTTATAATTATTATTTGAAGAAAATTATGTTTTAAATTGTATTGATATTTTATTTTCATTTGATATATATATATATATATATATATATTTTCATAGCCCCGGAACGGGCCGTTCCACTTTGGGAACGGGCCGTTCCAACATTTCAACCCAGAACGAGCCGTTCCACCATGAAACTGGCCGTTCCGGAAACCCTAGAACGGGCCTTTCTGGTTTTGGAACGGGCCGTTCTGGGAGAGGCTTTTGTACCTGTTCTGTGTGCCCAGAACGGGCCGTTCCGGATTCGGCACGGGCCGTTCTGGCCGCGGCCTGATGCCTATAAATAAAGCGTTTTGCACTCTTTAAAACTCATTTTTTTCATTTTCTAATATTTTTCCTCCTTCCTCTCTGAAGACGAAGGTGAACTTAGAGGGGGCGACCAGCAAGATTCGGCTCCTGTGAGTGTGAGATTGTAAGATTGTATGCTGGGTAGTGGGATTGGCCCCCAATCCTGTGTTTGTTGTATTTTTTGTATGCTTATGTATGAAGGGTTTTTCCCAATTGTATCTATTTTGCCTATTGTTTTCTTATATGTAATTAATTGTATGAATTGAGATTTCTATAGGTTCCTATGAGAAACCCTAAGGGAATGCATTGATAATTGTAAGAGACAAATTTTAAATGTTTTCTGTTTTACCTTCTGAGTTTTCTGTTGTGTTTCTTGATATTTGTTGAGTGTAAATGTGTGTCTAATCTTGAAAATGAACAAGTTTTGATAAGAATTAGAGTGCTCTGTGGGTTACTATAGGAACCCTATGAGAAACAGGCAAAATATGAATGTTTTCTGTTTTGCTTTCTGATTGTTCTGATGTATTCTTTATTGAATGAGATGTATAAATATGTGTTTATTTTTGAAAATAGACCAATTTTGATATGATTTTGAGTGCTCTGTAGAGACTATGTGAATATGATGAGATGATGTGAAAAGTGATGACTATGTGAATATGATGAGATGATGTGAAAAGTGATAATTAGACATGATAATGTGATATGGGAATGAGACATGAAAATGTGATATGAGAAAAGCATGGAGTCTTGATTGACATGCATCATATGCATAAATGTTTTTAAGGGTACGATATGGAATACACCGCCAGAGAAGGCCGCCTAGTGTAAAAGCTTTGGGGATTAGTCCTTGGGATAGCTCAGTTTGGAAGTCTCAGTCTCGCCCATTGTGTGCGTGAGATGTATCTTGTGCGGCTTAGCTATCCCGAAGTATGTCCTTCTAGTGAGAGTGCGCAGAGGGTGTGACCCGACATGTACTCCTAGACTACTCTTCGTGTATTGCTAGTGGCAATATGCCATGTGATGTTTTACTGGCACCACATGCATGATAATATGTAGTCCGTGTCCATACTTATGCATTTTTAATGTTATATGATAAAGTGATGGTTTATGTCTGGGACGAGTGTGATGTTATTATTAATATATCTATGCTATATATGTCTTGTTTGTGTTTGGCTATCCGGTGTGTATTTCTACACTGTGAGCCAGAGTGAGATGTTTCTCACTCCTTTTTTTTTTGTTGTTTTCCTTTGACTGTTGTATAGGTGATTATCAGCATGAGATTGAAAATGTTGGTGATGAAGCTTAAGCTTCTACGTTGGGATTTGCTCTGATAGAACATGTGACATCGGGATATAGATAAGATTAGTTTAAGATGTTCTTATTAAATTATTTGGGAAAATTCAGTTTTATTTCTTTGTAATTTTACCGGCATGTTATTTGGATTAAGTTTATGAATGTGAACTCTTTACCCTTACGTGGTTGGAAATTTGATTTTTATTAATTTTTTTTTTATAATTACTGTATATATATGTTGGGGTAGAGGGTGTCACACCATTTGTTTGATCCTCCATTATTTTCTCTTTGGCCATAGTAGCCTTTTCCTCTTCCACGTAAGTTTCTTCCTCTTCCACTTCCAAATTAGCCACCTTTAAAAGACTCATCGCTATTTGTTGATTTATCATTTTGAGACGATACCATGAATTTGGATTGAAATTTGCTTTCAACTAATTTTTCAACATGATTTAACAATCTTTTCTTATAGGAACTAAGTGATCCCATCGACCCTTGATCAGTCATGGTTGACAAGTCCTTAGTTTCTTCTATGAAACATAAGATCAAATTGTTCGGTCAAACTAAAAAGAATTTTATCAATAATTCTTCAATCATTGATTGCAAGGATTTGTAGCTTTGATAACACTTTGTTGGTGGTATTCTAGAGATGATATTGGTATCTAACACTCAGAATTTACTTTATGCAAAATTATGCATAAGAAAATTTAGAATAAGAAGATAATTTGGGGATGAATTGCTCTCAATTTTATTATATTTTTTTTTCTCTACCTTTTCTACCGTATATTCATAAATATTTGCAGATTGAAAATAACTTTTAGAATATTATAACAGTTACAAATGTAAAGAGTTACATGAGTACTAGGGAATATGAATATTGACTTATAAGAGCATATGTAATATCACGCTATGACAACATTAAACACTTATGACATCACATTACTTAACACTAAGGAATGTGAAATTCTCCTTCTTATTGAATTGATAGTGGGCATAAAATTGCTTAAGGATATAGAATAGCATACCAGTTGAACGTAAGCATGGATAAAGAGATTTATACCTTGTCAAAGTTATTAGCTTTCTTTTTTTTGCATTTTGTTATCACAATTCTATTTATGATTTGTATTAAGTATTTAAAGGATCAAATAATCAACAGTAAACATTTCTATGTTGATTATTTTATCCTTTGAATACTTAAGGCCAAATTTAATTTTGTATTGTTTCCATTGAAGTAACAGTTGTCCAACTAGAATATGTTTCTCTAAAACATGTAAGCATTGCTTCAAAAGAACCTTGTCAGAACGATAAAAAAAAAAAAAAGACCTCGTATAAATGTTGTGCAAAGTAAATCCATAATAGTCCATGTTGATTAATATTTGTAGAAGTTATTAATTGGTTATATAGAATTTTGCCATCACAGCTTTGTTATCTTAATCAAATCAAAATTTTGGATATCTAAAAAAATCGCCTGTAAGAACAAATTCAAAAATGTTTATAAAGCTTTATTGTGTTGGCTGTGATGCGTATGAACATGAATAAAGTACACAGATAATTCATTCATAAAATGTTATTCTATAGCCTAGAAAGCATGAAAGCACCACGAGATAATTCATTCATAATACAATATAATTGTTAAAAATGACAAGACACTGTACAACTATACCAGAACATATAAAATTAATATAAATTGACAGATAGCAGCATTTGTGCTTTAACCTGAAAATCTTTCCCAGTTAACACAAGTTTCATATGTTTTACAAGCCAAAGGAGCAGAATATTTATAGCTACAATGATTCCCCCACATGCAGTTAAAAGTTACAGAGGGACAGAAAAGGGAAAAAGCAGTAAAAACCATCAATATGAGATCCTTCTGAAAACGATTTGTGCACCATATTGAGGCTGCAAAGTGATAAATAGTATGGGAGCATGCACATAGTTAGGAGATACCACAAAACTGTAACTCTGAATGATCATGGCAAGAGCAATCTTTGCCTCAACCATTGCCAAATTTTGCCCAACACAGGTTCGAGGGCCTAATCCGAAAGGAAAGAATGCAGCCAAATGTTTTCGAGGCTCACTAAATCTCATTGGATTGAAGCTATGGCAATCTTCTCCCCAGATTTCTCTGTCATGATGAACAGCAGTCAATGCCAAGTAGAGTTGAGTCTTAGCAGGAACATTGATGCTTCCAAGCACCACATCTTTAGAGGTTTGCCTCATTAGCATTACTGCCGGAGGATAGAGCCGAAGTGTTTCATTTATTATCATGCTAACCTGTTGGAAAATGTAAACCAACAACCAATAAATGAAAATGAACCAGAGTTTTGTTCTCAAGGAACTTAATGGAATAATTGGAAAACTACTCAAGTCCCATATCGTTTAAAAATAAGATTAAAACATAGTATATAAGTGAGAGAAAAGACAATCCTCATATTACATAGAGTTGAGTTAGATCAAAACTTATATTTAAAGAAGGTATCAGAGCTATCTAGATTTATTTAAAAGGGTTACTAACCATTTATACATACACTGATATTGGGCAGGTGTATAGGGAAAAAAATCCAAGTCTTGGACAATCGTAAATCCTTTTTTAATAGCCAATTTTGTAAAGTTGAGTTAAACTCAAACCTACATTCTAAAATGGTATTATATCTATTGAGATCTATTAAAAAAGATTACCAACTATTTATGAATGTATCAAACTCAATAATGTCGAGGCTCATATTCCAAGTCTTGTCTATCCTAAATCCATTAAAATGGACCACCTATTATTTATCCATGCACTAAACCCAATAGTGTTGACGTGTATTGAAGAAAATTCAATGTTGACTAAAGATAAAACCAAAACAAAGTATATTAGTAGAAGACAATTCTTATCTTAAAAGTCGCTTTTGTAAGGTTTGTGTTTGGTTCATTTATTTCTCTAGTGTAGAAAGCAATTACTTCAATATACTGCTCTAAAATCATATATTTCTCCATTCATGGCCTAATTTTCTGCATCTCTGCTTCAAGTTAAAATCCTTATATAGCATAGGATGAATGTTGGTAATAGATCAATTGACTAATGAACAGTCTAATAGATTTATTTATTAACAAGTCACTCTGACCTAACCTGCTTTCAACAGAGTAAATGTATTGTGTTGTACTGCACTGCTTCTCTTTATGGCAAACAACAAAAAAATGAACTTACAGTCTTGAGGTCATTTAAATTGTCTGCAACAGGAGGTCGATTGTGTCCAACGAAACGAAGAACTTCTTCGCGTGCCTTACTTTGCCATTCCTGATGTTTTGCTAACAGAAGAAGTGCCCAAGTCAACAAATTAGCTGTCGTTTCTTTCCCTGCAAAGTAGATGGTTTTACATTCATCTATAATTTCTTCCAACCCTAACTTTTCTTCTTCACCAGCATCATTCTTGTAGGAACACATCAAAGAACTTAGTACATTTCTTGCATTTTCTCTCTCATTGTTCTTGGTCTCAACCAGCTTGAGAATTGATTCACGAGTTTCTTTCTCTAGTCTCCACCTATCCCTGTTCTTCTTAGTCGGCAAATACCTATTGTTTTATCCAAGTTCCAGAAAAAATAAACGGGGTAAAACACTAAAACTCAACAACTTTATGCCAAGAAGGCAAAATATACCAGGTATGCCATAACATAAACTTTATTTGGAGACATCTATAACGAAATTCTAAATCAGAATTTAGTATTCAAGGCCTGGAACCAGTAAATATAAATGTAGTTGTGTTTCTCATCTTAAATTTAGCTAAAAGCAATAGTTTTAACATGGAAACTAATGCATCAATTTTACTATTTTAGCACTTAAGTTGTTTTGGTCTTTTTCTTATTTATTAATTACTACTGAGTTTATTACTTGAATAGCAAGGTTGGTGCCAAGGAAAGAAAGGTATCTACATAATTAATCTTATAAAACCAAGTTATAAGGTTATAATTCTTAAGATAATCTACAAAATCAGTTTGTAAGATAATAATCATCATAATAGACTTTGATACAATCTTAGAATGTGAATTTGGGTATAACCAAACTTTACAGAACTGACTTAGTGCGTGTTTGGTTTCAATTTTGAAACGCAAATTCTTCTTCTCTCTCCACGTTCACTTACTAATTTACGGAGAAGCTGCTATTTTCTCCTTCCGATTAAACGTGAAAATTCACGTTTCAACGCATATCCAAACACACGGTTATAAGAAAAGAATTCTTCAACACTTGTATACTATATTTGAATCATATGACGAGGGATCTCTGAGACTCTGACACCTACTTATGTTAATTTGTACTTAGTGGTGTGGCATGCATATGGCATCACTGTATAATAACTTGCCTATTGTAGTTTATAGTAACGATCAGGCTGCAAGGATATAAGTAGAAATAATAATCTAATTTTTTGAGTTATAGGGTAAATAGTCTATACATATATAGGGTGAATGAATTTTACGGTATCATTCAATTTTAAATTATTATTATGTATGATAGATTTATACTAACTACTTTAAGAGCCTTACTAATCGTTTATCATGATTTCTAGTTGACTTAACAATGTAATATTTACATTATTTGTACATAGAAATTAAACTTTTTCTTATTAAAAAAGAAGTCATAAAGAAGAGTTGGCAAAGTAACCTAAATCCAGGGAAATAGACACTCCTAACTGCCTGTGAGAAAAGATGCATTTGTTGCTCCTGCAAGTTGAAAATATGCTTGCCCTCTTCATAACTGCTTCCAAAAGCAGTCCTCGATATAACATCTGCAGAAAGATGAAGAAGCTCTCTGTGCACATTTATCTCAACTTCATCTTTTCCTCCTCTTTGCTCCTCCCATCTCTCCACCATCTTTGTCACACTTGCCACAATATCTGGCACCCATCCCTGCAACACTCTTCATGATTCACTCATTAGTATTCTGGTAAGTCCTTAAATCACAAGTAAAAGATAGCATGTCAACAACGAAAAGAAAAAAACTAACCACCACTTAATAGGGGGGGAATTTTTCTTGTCTAAAGTTACAATTTAGAAGAAAATCTGAATGGCATGATATAGTTTTTTAAACAGGAAATTAAGATTCTCTTTCTTCCGACAACTCTTTTCTCTCTTTTCTCTATTATACACTCTTCTCCCTTTGGATTGGATAAAAATCCATTATTCACAGCCGAAGTACAGTACTTCTGATATTATTAGCTTAGACTTTCACCTTAGTAATGCGTGCTAATTTTTAATGTCCACCTTCATTATGTAAAAGTTAGCAATAAAACTTTAATTTTAATAGGATAACATAGCTAAAAATATTTATACTCCATTTGTCCTAAATCTTTAGTCTTAACTTAGATGTATTAAGAAATATTTAATAAATATAAATTAGATTAATTTTTTTATTTAATATCTCATTATTTTAACTCTATTATTTTGTTTTTTTAATAAAAAATAAATAAATAATTGACAAAAAAGTACCCATTGAATAAAAATATAATTGAAAAAAATATTTAGACTTTGAAATTCTTAAAAGTCAATTGCTTTGACAAAAAAGAAGACCAAACAATCCAAAAACTTTAAATTAAGAAAGTAATAAAAACCTTGTCCAATTTTTTTAAACTTCTTAAAAAGAGAAGCTGAGTCAAACATCAAGTATCTTATCATTTCATAAAACAAAAAAAAGGCAACAAAATTAAGTAACTTTTAAAAATATGTTACATACCTTAATTCCTCTCTTTCTTATTACGACGAGGAGCAAAAGATAAAACTTAATTTTAGAGAAATTTTTAGTCAAAAACTATTAAATAAATCTTATTTTATTTTAAAATTCAAAATAACTTTTACAAACCTTAATGGTGTGTTTGGATGAGGAATTTATATAGGGTAATTCATTTATTTGAAGAATTTTAAATTTTTTGAGATGAAATGCTTTGTTTGGACGAGGAATTTAAAAAGAATTTGAAATCCAAACATTTGTAAATTTCCTTAAAATAATAGAATTTCAAATTCTCTCAAAAATGGGAGAATTTGAAATTCCTCATATTTGTTTTTCTTATTTCACCTATATATTTTATCTTATCTCTTCATTCTTTTAATTATTGGATATTCAAAAATATTTTTAAAATTATTAAATATTATCTTATATTAATTTTTAAAATTATTAAATATTATCTAATATTAATTTTTAAAATTATTAAATATTTAAAAATGGATTAATATTTATTTTTATAAAATTTAATTTAAAAATCTCAACATATAAATATTTTTAAAATCAATTTTACTATGATGGAATCAAATTATCATATTCAACCTAACAATTTAAAATTTAAGAAATTTGAATTGACTCATCCAAACAAAATATTTTAAGAATGATAGATATTGAAATCAAAGTAATTCAAATACCAAGAATTTAAAATTCCTTGAATTTGTAAAATTTCTCGTCCAAACACACTATAAAACTTCTTTAAAGTTGAATTTGAAAAATAATTCCAACACGAGTCAAGACGAAGTACCTTAACAAGCTCCATGTTAAATGCGAGATTTATAATCCTTCTGTGCAAGGCCCATTGGGGGCCCTGCAGGCCCACAAGGCCCTGTCCAAAAAGCAACTTGGATTGAGGATTGAACGAAACCCTCTCATACTCCCCACTCTTATTCGAGAGCACCTCCTTAATCATATCCGGTTCAGTTATCGCCAACCGGGGCGTTGAACCGAACCAGTAGAGGAAGGTTTTCCCGTACGCGCCAGACCACCTGTCGTAAAATGGAACCACGCGTCTCAAGACGTCGTGGTCAAACCGATGTGTGGGCTCTGATTTGGCTTCCGCGTACAGCCGTCGGATCTCTGACGAGTTCCCCAAGATCGGACGGTAGCCAGGGCCCCCTATCCCTTGCTTCTTGAAGTGACGCTCGGTTCTCCACGGGACCCAGAATTTGGAGTAAAAAAAATTCACGGCGTAAAAAACGAGGAGAGTTACTGCGGCAAGTAAAAGATTCATGTTTTGTTTGACAGTGAGAGTGTAACTGTGCCTGAGAGATTTAACTGTTAGTTGAGAGAAAAAAAAAGAAGAAAAAAGAAGTGAATAAGAGGAAGAAGGAGCGTTCACTTTACCTTACCTTGTTGTGTAGAGAGAGAAGAAAAAAAAAGGAAGAGAATTTCACTATTTAGATTTGAAAGTGTGAGTAAGACTTCGAAGAAGTGAAGAGGGAACTCGTAACTCTTTCTTGAGCTATGACAACGATGGTGGATTAAATTACTAGCATGGTTGGTATTTTGAATTTTTTAGCTTTTGGCTTTTTTTTTTTTAATTGTAATGTTCTTCAATGAATTAGGTTTCTTTAATATTTCCACCTAATTCCGTGAGCTAAGTTGTCTTTATGCGGTTTGATTAATTATTTCACCCTGCAAGTGACATTTAGGAATTAATGTTGTCGGTATGGTAGACGAAATTTGAGTTTTAATTCTTAATCAGGTGTATAGGCAGTGATTTAAAATCTGGATTAAATCGGCCGGTCGGACTGGGAACCGGTGGTTCAACCGGTCCGAATCATAAGTTAGATCGGTTATGCAGTTGACCCGTTTCAAATTGGATTGAACCGGTTAATTTTCCGGTTCAACTGATGAACCGGTGGGTCAAACCGGTTCAATCACTTTTTTTTCTTATTTTTTTAAAAAAAAAATTAAGGGGCCATAAACTGATAAACCACAAAAATAATAATAAAAATTAAATCTCTTAATGGAAGAGTCAAAAGTCTTATTAAATATAACAATGACTACTTGTTCTAATATATTCCCTCCGTTTTTTATTTCATAGTCGTTTAAGGTTTTGCACGGGACTTAAAGAAATCATTGATATTTTAGTTTTCAAAAATATTTATTACTTACTTTCTTATTTTACCATTTTTTTTTGCATTTTTTAGACTGTTGAACTATTCCATTAAATAGTTGTCCCTTTTTTATTTTTTTTATAGTATTTTGTTGGGAACATATTATTTTTATAAATGAACATTAACTTTATATGAGTAGTTGGAGAAAAATTAATTAGACATTAAAAATAAATACACATATTGTTTAGGAAACATGTATTAATTATCAAGGATAAAAATGGAAGAAAAAAAAATTAATAACTCATTGATTTTAGTAATATGACAATGAAAAAAAAATAACAAACTCTGACAAAACGACTATTAAAAAAAATGGAGGGAGTATTTGTTTGTAATATATACAACTTAAATAACTTTTATAGTATATTATTAATTTTAAATTATATATTTAATAATATAATATTTATGTAGATATTACATATATTATTTTGTAATATCAATTGCAAGCATATTATATATGTAGATATTATTTATATTTTTAAAATTTGTATTAATATACAATTTAACATGTAATTTTTTATGTATTTTTTTACAAAATAAAAATAAAAATAATTTTAAATAAGATAGAAAAATTGAAATTTAAAATAAGATATGAATTTATTAAAATTTATAAGTATAAAATATATTTAATATGAATATTTTTTAATAAAAATAAAAATTTAAAATAAGATATGAATTTATTAAAATTTATAAGTATAAAATATATTTAATATGAATTTTTTTAATATAAATAAATAAAAATCGAGTCATGCGGTTCAACTAGTGACTCACCGATTCAACATTTGACCCACTGACCCAGTATCTTAACCGATTCGATGAACAGTCCAATTTTTAAAACTATGTGTATAGGGATTAAAAATTAAAAGTTTTAGGAATTAAATCTTAAAAAACATAATAACAACGAGAGCTAATGTGTATCATTAAGGTGAACCGATTTGTGAAATTGTTCTAACATCTCTAAAAAAATAAAATCATTTCAAGTTATGTATAAGGTAATTTAATTAACAATAAAAATGTATGAATTAAACTTAAAATCTTTTGCTCATATAAAAATTAATTTTTATTTAAGTGTTACATTTTTTTATTATTATATTATTAGTACAAAGTATTTATCTAATAATTCAATTTACTAATTTAGTAGAATCTCACATTCTAATTATATATATA